ATTATTGCCGACATAGACATACATAACGTAATGGCCGGTTGCTTTAGTTTTATGTTTGAATCAAATATAATATTAGTGTTCGTGTCGTACGAGAAGTATATATAACTTATTTTGTAAGTTTGGTATAGAAAACCACAAATACATGTTATTTTTAAAACATAAAATGCAATGTCGTTTGTCATTATGTACAATAATTTATAGTAAAAAATTTATTTAATATAAATTGAATATTATTTTCTGTTTAAAACACTACTATTTTCTCTAAGTTACAATTATTTGTTATTTCTATTTATGTGAATCAAAACTAATTTTTCTTAATTTATTTGAGATATTATCTACTTTAGTAGAATTATAAAATATTATACCTCAATAAAATTCTGTTAAAATTAGATTTAAAATTTATTAAACTACACACCTTTGAGTCATTAATAGAAATAACTTATATGAATTAATTTATTAGAAATTTTAATATTGTGTAGTGGTATATTAATAGGTGTATGCTTCTGAATATCGAGTATAAAAAGCAATTAAATCATATTCTGTATTTCTCATGATTAAAAAAACAAATGTTTTTAAATTAGTTTCTATGAACATAAATACTTAACTAATCAATAATGTAAATAACTATAAAGTTAACATATGCCGTATCAACATAAAATAAATAAATAATAATTTTTGTGAATTAAATTTCTTTATTTAAACTAATAATTATATAATTATATTTACAGATAATTATCTATAGCTAACTTTTTAATGTTAATAATTTATTTTATTTAATTTAATAATTTATATTTTCTTATTTAACCTTTATGAAAATATAATTTAAAATTTTCTCTCAAAGTTTTGTGGACCGACTCTCTCTTATACGACAATCTCTTGAGTCGTTTGGCTTTATTGATGAATATATTTGATTTCGTAAACAATTTGTATAAAACACTTTTTGGTGACTGACTTTTCAACATGACCTGGATGCGATCCTCTAATCGACGTTGCATGTACTTATTGTACACAATCTCACCAATTAAAATAGCTGATGTGAAATAATAACCAAGCACAAGTACCGAGAACACGCCCCTCCATACATCCTTTAGTCTTAGCGCGTAATTAGCGTTAATTTGTTTTGTAATTTTGGCAAACTTTTGAGGAAACAGTTCAAGCATAAAGTTTTTACGTAATTTGCTCTTGATTGTATCTGCCAGTCTGTAATGCCAATATAACCCAGCTTCTATTCCGTTTAAAATTCTATTTATAATAAAAATAAATCTGAATTCAATTTTAAATAATCTTCATAATTAATATTTAACATAATAGTTAATTGAATATAATTAAAATATTAAAATTGATTTAATTTAATTTATTTCTGTAAAATCAATTGACACATAAAGGGTCGGGTAATCTAGTCAGTACAGTAGTGTACTTTATCTCTACGGTATTACTTACAATGTATACTTTATACCTAATTAATATTAAATTTAATAATTTTAAAAATTAACTACTTATAGTAAGAATGTAATGAGTTTAGTACTACAAATAGCTGACATATAATTTTGTAATAATAGTGATAACTTACAGCCGGTATATTTCATGTCTAAACTGGACCTCTTTGTGGACAAAGAATGTGCGATAAGTCGGCGAATATTTTTTCTCAAGAGTTACGAGTTCTGTGTCCGAGAAGATCACCTGTTTTTCTCTAATGCCTATCGTGTTGTCCAATATAACTGCCTTTCCCTTCAGCACTAATTCAATGGTATTTATTATATTTATTTCCTCAACATCTACGGGAAAGTCACTGGTGTTTAAGCGGCGTTCATCCAGTAATTTATACCCTGCTCCATTGTGGTTTTTAAAATATTCCTGAACATCTTTGGCGGCTACCTGTGCTGACTCGTCGTTATAGATATCTTGGAGGCTCTCAAACATTGGCACGACTTTGCTCTTCATGAATGAGTTCAACAAAACACTGGACAGACATTTGCCTAACACTGTGGACATGAGTATCCAAATGGCCAGTAATAGTAGGAAAGCCCTCTTTTTTCGTCGTCGGCTCGCGTTTCGACTCCGGTTTACAATCAAACTCCTGATGGTATGTATGGGTTGTGCGGTCAGCGCCCGAACCACATAACTATTAGCCGTGTCTATGGATATCTGGTGAGGATTTGTGAGCGTGAATAATAGGGATACAGTAAACAGGGATATCGTTAATACCAGCCATATCTAGACAAGAATAATAATAACCGTATTGTCAAATGTTAACCAATTTAGTGATATTTACATAGAATTCAAATAAATAGAAGAATGAGAAAAACGTTTCATTATATATCACTTTATTGGAAGTCATAATCTCAACCATATATACTTGTTCGGTGGGCACCAGTTCCCCATATTCTGCACCTTCCGACTCAACATCTATTGGATCTAACAATAGGTTTCTGTGCTGTTTATAGAAATGTTTTATTTGTATTAATAATATATTTAATAAATATAATTTTGTACGACAAACATACAAAAAAGAAACCCTCCTCAACGGTTACAAATGACACGTTAAGCCGTAAATTACACATTATTTTCTCGACAATTGATAACAGAAAACTGTATAAATAAAACTTCACATAAAATATAAAAATTAATTTGAAAGTTTTACCCCGACAAATTATTTTGTTGAGTGTAGTAAAATGATACATACCTCTTTATTTCCAGCCAGTAAATAGTCAATGGTCAGATTACCGAGTGGTGGTAATATAGTATTTGGACAGTAGTAGGATTTTTGTGCGTCAAATAATTTGTGCTTAAAATATGTCAGTATATCAATATCCAGTACCCTCGACAAGTAGTCGTTATCACTCTCTTCACGTACTATAATGTTATCTAATTCCATACCCTGGTTAATTATTTGTGTAATTATTAACTTTTGAACTGATTGTCAAAATTCCTAAACAATACATTTTGTGTGTGTATAAAATGTCAGAAATATATTGATGTTCGTATTTACTAGCATAGTAATTATTTTATATTCATTGGAAAATATAAATGAGCTACAACTTCACATCAATTATCTGTTCAGCATAAATTATTGGAAAATAAAGTATTGTTTTCTGATTAAACATATTATTAAAATCCTGTACTGTAATGTACATTTACAGTAATAACTACTAAATAGCACCCATAATTATGGGAATAGATACAATTTATAAAAATAAATCAATTGGTTTCCATTAATATAGTTATTTTAGTTAATTGTGAACGTCATAAAATACTGAACCTAATGCAAGGTTAAGGGTACAATTGTACCATTATATTATATTTACAATTTATAAATAATATACATGTATAATACGATATAAATAATTATATGAATTTATTGTACATAGTCTTATTAATAGTCTCGAAGAGTTTGTAAATTATGTGAATGAAAGTACTTATTAATATAAACCATAATATAAATAGGTTTTATTTATAAAAATGTGAATTAACAAATACAATTATAAAATACTTGTTAAAACAATCACAAAATAAAACAATTAATTAATTAAAACAAAACAAAAATTACTCATTACTTAAGCGACGTGAAGACCCTCTGAAAAGCGGTGGTCTGTGCGTATGGTATAGAGCAGGGACGCCAGTCTCGGGGACAGGGATTGGTGTCCTGGCGTTTCAATTTAGTCAAATTGACATTGGTCAGGTAGAAGATCACGAGTCGCTTGTGTATCGCCAATATCTCGGCCAATGTTTGTTGAGTCTGTTTATTGGGCTGTGCTTTGATAGACTTAGTGTCGTATTCATGTGTGTACCTAATATTTTATAAATGAACACGCTCATATTAATAATTACATGAGTCAACACTTACGTGCCTAATAATTTGCCACACAATTAAGTAAATACTGAAAAATTATCTAACTTTAATAAAATACTTTTTTAAAAAGTTTACTGTTAATTTATGAAATGCTATTTATTATTTATTAGGTTTATAATTTAGGTTTATAATTATATTATTAATTATTGCAGTATTAGTTACTGTTACTAATTTCATATACTATTTAAGGTATCCTAGGAATATCAAGGTGTTGTATAATTACTGTAACAGCTCCTTAAATCCCACATGACTATCTTGCTCAGAAGCGGCAATGAGCTTGTTCACATAGTCATTCTTTATTCGCTCCATTTGCTCGACCACCTTGTTCATACTCTTGAACACCTTGATAGTCTTAGCCCTCTGTGTCCTATTCTTGCACTGATTCATCAACAACATGACCCTCTCAGCGCCCATCAAACGCACCACAATCTGAATGTGATAGTTATCAGGGTATATAGTGTCAAAATAGTTGATAATCTGGTCGTTTGTTTGTACGGAATTGCTTTTGAAATAAATGAAATACAAGTTAATAACAAATGCTTTCTAATATTGTATAGACTTTCTGGACGGACACGCAGTACTGTTGCAACTGGTCGTCCTCTTCAGGCCATAGTCTCCCTGAGTCTCCCAATCGGTACACATCTGACAGCAAGTCGTCGATCTCTTGGCACCCATTGCTTCCGTAGCCATACGTATAGCCCATTAAAACGAAAACTATTTTTTGGACAAATGTTTTGTTAAAATTAAGTTGTATTATACATAGATAATTAATTTGACAATATATGGAGATCTAAATAATTTATCTTATAATAAATAGTAACTTACAATTAATAAATAAATATAAAAAGGTAGACATTATGAAGTTGTTTATTTTTACAATTTGTAAATATTAGTATTTTAAAGCAATTTCAGTAATTAGTGTTAAGGCAACCATATGTTTATATTCAATATAATATAATATATTGTACTAACTTACTTACAAAAAATATTAAAATTAATATTTATAAAATTAATAAAAGTAATTAATACAATTCGATTATTACAGTAAAAGCAACTTGATAATAATTGAATTCTTAATTAATTAAACATTTGAAAACAATTTTATGTTTTACAAAATTTGAAAATTAAAAAATAAATATGAATTTATTTATGAATCTGTGAGCACTTCCGCATTGAAAGCATTGGCAGCAATGGAACCGCCATCTGATACAAGACTTGCACCAGTTATAAAAGCAGCATGGTCACTGGCTAGATACAATATTGAGTCGCCAATGTCCTCACTCAAACCGGTACGTCCCACAGGCAATAGTTTGGAGTAACCCTCGTGAAATTTATTAACATCACTGTCTGATAAGCCCATAGCCGTAAAGATTTCTGTTTGAACTGGTCCAGGGCTAATTTAGAAAATAATATAATTAACAATTATAATCAAATAATATTAATTTTTAATGTAATTATGACATCATATGACATGAAATCTTACTTGATGACATTAACGCGGATACGTTTGGGTCCCAACTCTGCGGCCATACATTTGGTGAACATATCCATCGCAGCCTTAGACATACAATATGGTGACCAATAGGTAAACTATTAGTCAAATTATTAATAAATTATTTAATAATACAGTAATTAGTTGTTTGGTATAAAGTACTAACGGCTCTCTTCCCGGCGACACTTGAAATGTTGATAACATTTCCCTTTGTTTTCTCCAAATGCTCGACACATATATGCGTTAAATAGACCACAGAATTGAGGTTTAATTGCATTACTTTCAGATAATTCTTGTAGAAATCCTTTTCTCCAACTCTAGCCGTAATAGCAGAGCCGGCGTTGTTCACCAAAACATCCAGTTTTCCAAAGTGTTTGATAGTTGTGTCCACAAGTCGTCGCAAGTCTTCCGGTTTAGTCACATCCGCCACCACTTCCAGTGCTTTCGACTGTTTCGGTGATACTTTGAGACACTCTTTGGCCACTTCTGACACTT